ACGGCCCCGGCCGGGCCGGAGGGGAGGGGCCCGTAAGGAAAAAACCCAAATCCACCCGAAAATCCGCGTGCGAGTCCCTGCGGAGGAGGAGCCCCGCGGGAACAGCCCCCTCAGCGCGGGAACCTTGCCGGTCCAGGACCGGTGAGACACCGCTCGTCCCGTTATTCAGAGGGCGCGTGGTGTCACAGACTCAGAACATCCCGAGTTGGAAGGGACCCACCGGGACCATCAGTCCCACCCTCAGCCCCGCACAGGACCCTCCCCAAGAGTCGCACCGTGTGCCCGAGAGCATTGTCCCAGCGCTTCCCGAGCTCTGCCGGGCCCGGTGTTGCGACACGGCCCCCGGGCTGTGCCAGCGCGGCCGCAGCCACAGAACCGCCCACGCGGCCCCCCCGGCGGCTGCGGGACCTTGTGCAACCCGCATCATCTCCCGGGAAGGCTCCTGCGTCACGGAGTGGTTTCCCCCCCGGATGACATCCCATCGGAAGCCCTTATGCCAGAGCGAGCGAGGAACACGCCCGTGTGAGGTGTCCGTAGGCGGTGCTGCCGCAAGCAGCCGAGCCTCCAGTGACTGGGAGGGGACACGGTGGACTCAGGCCAGGCAGAGGTCACCCCGGCGCTCCCACCGGGGTTTTCGGCCCTGCTGGTGCACAAGGTAAGTTCCAACAGCCAAACATAAATACTACCACCACCATGGCCAGGTCACAGCCCTGTCCCCCCAGACTGGCACACGGTGACAGAGAACTTGCTCAGCTACGTGTTTTTTCACCATCAGTGCCACAAGAACAGCACACTGCACAACCACTTCCTACTGAAGCATCGTTTATTAATCACCTGTATCAAGCACACATCTGCTCAGCAAGGGTGCATGACGGGATACAACAGTTGACATCTAACCCGAAGGGAGGCACGTGGTTACAGGATCCGGCACAGCAGGAGGAAGTGTACTGAACCCTCTGGAAAGACAACCCGGGTGCAACACGGTGCCCGTTGTTAGGCTATGTTGTTAGGAGGCTGAAGACCAGTGAGAATAAAATTAGGAATACAGCTAAAATCAGAGCTGACTTGTGCTTTGGCCAGTGACTTAAACACCAGTTACCCTACGACTAAGGTAGGACTACATAGGTCGGTGCTACACCAAGGGCTAGTGAGAGGGAGCAGCACGGACCAGGAAACCCAGCAAGCATCTGAGTGGCATGCCTCAACACTTCTGCACCTCAAGCAGGCAGTAATCTAGAGACAAGGAAAGCCAGGCCCATCCAGGCACATGCCACGACAGACACCTTGGACTGAATCACCACTCACACTTGAGATACAATCTAGAGTTAAGAAACTCACAGGTTTTAGCCAAGCCACCACTAGGTTGCTGAGACAGCAGAGTAAGCCTCATCTTGGGAGAAAGTCTTTGAAGGCAGAGGGTGAGGAATAACAACAAAATGCATCGAAATCTCCCTGTACCCCACAGCCTGCAGAGGGGTGGATCCAGTGACAGGACAGAGATCAGCATCTTCAGCTCTCGCCAGAAGGAAAATGAAAAGCAGCTCTGGGTTTTTTGCCCAGCTCAGTGCTCAAGCCTGGTCAATGAACATCAGGAGAAAAAGACCTGATAGCAGAAGTTTGCATCTGGAGGATTCATGTAGGTCCTATTAAAGCAGCTGAACAAAACTGCATCCAAACTCTAGTGGAGGAGCTCTACCATGCTGCAGGAACAGGCTGTAGCTCCTCTCTAAAGATTAATCCTGGCACAGCTCTTTTGTTGAAAATCCCAAAGCATAATTCTGACTGAAAAAGATATGCTTGAAAGATGACAGAGCAGCTCACGGTCCTAGAGAAATGCACGTGAGAACTTAAAACACATTCAAGTTCTGCACCTGCACCTCAACATCTCCCTGTCCTGGTACTGCTGTAGGTGACAGCACCCAGGGGAGCTCCCTGTGTCCCCACGTGGGTGGCACTCGGCAGGGCAGGAACTCTCGGGTTTGTTCCTGCCAGCTTAATGCTGCTGACATGATGGCATTCAACATGTGTAAGTCTGGGCCAAAGTGCTTTGACCCCTGGCTCAGCCCCTCAGGGACAGCAACAACGCAGAGCTGAGGCAGTCAGTCAGTGCCTACCAATACTTTAAACACTGCTCTTCACATAGGAAAAACCCTCACCCAGTTAATCATCCAGTTCCTCCCAGACACTAAAAGGTGCTTCACTGCAAGGACAGTTAAATTAAAAGCAATGAATCACACACCCCAAAGCTGGTTAACAGCTATGTACACCAAAATAGCATAATTCCCAGAAAAATGTGATCAGCAAATCACACCTTAAAACTCATTGTGGCATTTTTTTTTCCCTGGCAAGCCCACCATCTCAAAGGCAATAGAAGAATTCAGAGATTGGTCCTTTCAGGGGGAGTTTGGGAAGGGCCACAGTAGACAGGACTACACACCAGCACAGAGAAGAACTCAGACTTGTGAAATGCTACAGACATTGGATCTTCTGACACACCACACACAGGGCAAAAAATCAACAGGAACTTTTAAGTGCAGGATTCCAGCAAGTCCAGCATCTGCAAGATGCAAACAGTAAACTGCAAGGTAATTCAGGTATTATTCCAGAGAAGGTCAGGGATGGTTCAGGCAGCTGCCCACAGGTATTTCAGCTGGAGAAAAGAATTCAGGAGGGCTCTCCTCCTCACTAAAACTGGTACCAGGGTCACAAGCCACCACCAGCCACAAGCTGGTCACCCTCTAAGCAGGGCTGTTTCACCCTGTGCTCATCAGGAGCAAAGTGCCTACCCTGCAGGGAAAGGCTCTGCTGGGTTACAGGTTTGGACACCTCTGGGAAACAAGTCACTGCCAACCCCACACCAGCAGCTGTGCAGTGTCTGCCTGAGCACTGCAGCCACATGACCAAAGCGTGCTCTGGGGGGAGCAGCGATGCTGCTGGCCCAGTGCTTTTTCCCCAAAAGCACATGGCTGTTGTCCCTGACAGTGGGAAAGACCTTCTCCAGGCCAGTCAAGTCTGATGACTGATTAAGCCCTTTCCATACAGGATCTCAGATTGCCTCAGGCCCTTTGTGTAACCTATGAAGGACCAAAAGTGTCAGTGCTTCTAATCTACAAGTCTAATGGGTTAATGCAAAACCAAAACGTACATCACAGAAAAGCCAAGCATGGGACCTACAACAGACAAATATTTGTTCTTATAAGACTCGCAGGGCAGGAGTCCTGCTGAGACACAAAGAATACTGCGTGCTGTAGCACTCCTTTCCAAAAAACATCACCTAAAGATGCTTACATATTACAGATGATTTGGCATCAGAGCTAGGGAGCATCAGTGCCAGCACAGGGTATGTGCTAGAAAGATGACTCCACATGGCAGGGTTTTCACATCACCTCAGGCTACAAAGTGCTTACAGGTTGTGTGGGGACTGAGGCTGCCACTGCTCTGACCTGCTATCCACCACCAGTCCCGGCCCACCCCAGGCATACAAGCAAGCTCAGCTCCCCACAGGCATTGTCACCCACATCTCATTGCCTCAGCACAGATGTCTGTGCCAGGTCAGTTGGATGACTCTACTTGGCTCACGGTGACAGGGCAGCCCCATAGGCTCAGCAGATTTCACAGCCTCCCTCTGCTCTACGTGATGAGAAGACTCAAAAGTCCTCCTGGTCTGCTTTAGAGAGGATGCTGTTTTTGCTTCTTTATTTATTATAGGTTTCAACAAAAAGCGGGGAAGCCTTCCTCCTCTTCTTCCTCCCCAGCACTGGAGTTATAGGAAAGCTTAACAGAGAAACTCTCTCCCTAGAGCCAAGTCCAGTGCTAAGGCCAAGACTTTGGTCTCACTGCAAATCGCTGAAGAGAGCTTGCCAAGGTCTGCTCGGCCTGCCGGGCTCCCACCGTCACCGCTCCTGCCATGCGAGCGCCCACCAGGGCAGAGCCACACACCCCCTGCACATGAGCAAGCACAACACACACACAGGCACAGGCTGAAAGCCATCCCGGCCTCCTCGGCACATCACAAAGCAGCAGTAAAGGTTTCAAAGCCCGTTCAAGTCCTTCGCAT